TTTTTAAGTTCAAAATGTTTGATTATTCATCTGTTTGGTAATCTGAATTTTGGTGAAAATTGACAATTTTTGACTAAAATTATTTTTTTAAAGAAAAAAAAACCATACGACTTTCTTTTTATTTTATGAATATATAGAATGTTGTCTTTCAAAATTTGTCACTGACATGTAATTGTATTGTTGGTCTTGGGAGATAAACAGATTTAAAATTTAGGAGTTTTTGAAATTTTTCATTTTCGAATTTTAACACATTTTTAAATGGTTGCTATGGAAACAAACTATGTAGTAAATTCAAAATTTTAACGTTTTTGTGTAGTTTGGGGTTTTGTTTGTCAATACTGTAAATGTACTTATTGTTTGTTTTGATTAACTTTATTTCAATGGTTCTTTAAAATCTCTTATATTTCAATTTTCAAAGGCTACTTTTGTACGTATTTTGGCAAAAATTTGTAAGGATGGTTTCCATGGCAACCAAGGTTCAAAAGAAAAAAATTAATATATGAAACTTATTTATATACCATACCTTCTTCATAAACAAAATATAAAGACATTTGAAGAGGGGTCATGAATAGCCCATCAACAGGAACCTGCATGATTCTTACAAAGACTGGTACTTAAATGTTAAAAATTCTATAGAAAAAAAAAATAATATAATTTATTAATTGTAAATTTGCATACGTTAATTAATTAAATAGACATACAATATTACAATAAAAGACCACAAAAGAACATCTTCAAAGATTTGCCCATTTTATTCATAAAGGGGAGCAACCCCTGATAAACACAGGGAAAGTGTCGCCCATTTTCCTCCCGAATACTTAAAATCTTAACATGACTGAACACAATCTTACAAAATCTAAACAGCATTTTTACCATCTGATTTAGTCTTAAAGTGATCTGATCAAGTCTTAATCGCACGCTAGAAAAATCTGTCTTGTTTATCTTGACATGACTGAACGGACTGAAAACAATCGATCGGAACAGCGTCTGAAAGTCTGAAAAAGTCTCAACGTTTTTCTCTTGCGGTAAATTCAGTCGATAAGACTTGATCGGACCAAATTGGCCGTTTCAGACTGAAATCTTGCTACTAGTGAGTGGACGGGAAGACAATAATTCAAAAGCAGTACATTTATGAAGATTTTGATACTATAAAGGATTTTCTTTTACAAAAAAGTTCACATACACTTGTTTTATAGTAAAACCTAGCCATTCAAGTATATAAAACATATTTAATTTTATTTTTAATTGGAAGTTTCATATATATGACTTTAATGTAGATATAATGTACGCATAATTATTCCGAAAGAATAGCATATGTTGGGATTTATATCACAAAACTTTTACCTAGCCATTTTACAATGCAGGGAAAATTAAAACCCGTCATTAAATGCCACAATTAAAATGATCATAGTATTTGAACAACCTTAACTAGTTACAATATTCCAATAAGTATCTGGAAGAAAAAACATATGTTCGGAAATATGATACAACATTTGTATTTTGTACACTGTTGTTTGTCTTTTGGTAGTTTTTCCGGGTTTTTTTTGGCCATGTCATTGTCAGTTAGTTTTCGATATACGAGTTTGAATATCCTTTGGTATATTTAGCCTCTCTTTTAGCTTGGCCATGGTGGTTTTGCCCTACAGTTCTGGTTAGATTAATTGACCCACTGCTTGTCTTTTTTTGTCTGGCTCAGTTTTCCATACAGTTGGGTTCACTTCTCCACGAGGAGGGCACATTTCCATGGCCGAAAACTGGCATCGAGATAAATTTTCCATGGGTGCCAAAATACCATATGACGCTCGATCATGGAAATTGAGTATATGGGAAAGTACTAACTGAAAAACAACATTGTGAAAGATTTAAGGATTACGAGTATTGACTTCTTTAGATAGATTTTTCTACTGTTATTATGACATCCATTTCAGTGATATTTGGCATCTATTGCATTTGATAGTGGGTAGTTTCCAGATAGTTGAGACAATGGCATTAGACTATCGTTCGGTCAAAGTAGTGGTCACCTTGGACCGGAGGTGTATTTTTGTATCAGATGATAATAACAAAGTACCATATTACCGGTAATTTTCGAGGTATTTCGCGGTCAGTTTTAAATCTTGAAAATGAAAATCCGCCAAACAATTATATGAAAAACGACATTCTTTACTTTTTCAGCTGGTTTAAATGTATATACCAATTGTTCGTGATGTTAATGAACTTAAAGTAAAACAAACGCGGTCTTTAAAACTGTTTGGCGAAGAAATGGACAATCAAGTTAAAACATATCATCAGACTTCAAAGGGGCATTAGCTGTCAAATTCATGTTCACCGATTTGACTCAAATTCTCATATTTGATTTATAACATACTAAAACGTATATCCAAATTACAGTGAGTCTGAAATAAACAATTAACAATGCATGGACTCGATAATATATATCAACATTTCGTGTGTATTTTAGTCTAGAAGCCATCTAATTAACCATCGAGATGACCTCCAAAGACTGCCGAAGGTCACATAACCCGATATAAACATAAACACAAATATAAAAAGATAGTGACCTCGTGCAATTGGACTTTTCTAGGTCTGTTTAATTTCATGTTATAGGTTAAAAAATAAGTTAATCATAGTTTTTACCTGTATAAGAATGATTTTTTTTTTGTGGATCGATTCAGTCATCGAAATGGTTCATCTTTGTTTCACTTTCAATGTTGATATTCTTTTTCTTTTAATGGCTGAACACGACTAATACATGCGTAACCAATCTCTAGCTAAGGGGTTAAATTGAAGGTCACACGAATACGGATTCAATGAGGCAGAATTATTCACTTGCAAGTGAATAATTCATCAGCGATGTTTCTTAGCTTCATAAATGATTGAACAAAAAAAATATCTATTTTTTTTATATCTCGTAGCTAATGCCCCTTTAATGCCTCAATGGAATTATTTACCTTCTATAAAACCATTTGTATGGAATACCTTATTTTTCGATCTATCATCACTGTTTATTACAAATAAATACGTCCGATTAATGTTATGTTCCAATTAGTCAAACTAAACCGAACATAAAATATTTATCAAATAAAAACAAACACTTGTTTATAGGAACAGCTCGCTAGAATATGTGCAGCAAGTTTTATTTTATTAAATAAGCCAATATATGTCCATCAAAAGCACACTGACCGCTGCGGATCCAACTTTTAAACATAGACGTCTACAAAATAAAATCATCATGTAAAACATACAAGTGATAAATTACAATGAAAAACAATTATGTTTTCACCAAAAACTGTACAGTACTAAAAGAAAAAATCTGTATATAATGGGTGGGTTGGTGGGAAAATATACAAAACGATCCTTGCTCCACTTATTAGAAGCATCGAATAACCTTAATAATTGTCTTACTTAACAAAAAAAAGTATTCCCGCTTAAATTCATGAAAAAATACTCGTGTTATTAACATAACAATTCATAGAACATCGCATTGCAGCATAATACCATCCAGTGATATTTAATTTGGAATTAAATAATAATAAACCTGCTTATATATTAAGCAGTCACCAATCAGATCGCTTATTGGTGACACACAAACACGTGAAAAGTTGTTCGTAAACAAACAACATTAAAAACTAAGAACATAAACACGTGTTCATCTAACTTTAATAAATACATAAGTGTTTGCAGGTACTTTATTATCAGTTCCAGCTCTAGTTTATTTCCCTAATTACGCAGTTTTATTCTTATTTCATAACTCTTTATAGGTGAAATAGGTAATGTTGTTTTAACTGTTTGTTTACCATGCTTACTGATTCAAGAATCACTTTTGTAAACAGGTATCCGTACATGTATGTATCGTCTTATTAAAAATTCAAACAAGTATTATAATCATTATAATAATGAGTATACACTTGTGGTCAACATTTCTAATTAAACAATTATATGAAGTAATCTATCTGAAAGGCATTTCAGAAAAACTTCAGTTATGAAATTGAATACAGTAAATAAATGTTCTCTTAATTTAAAACTGAAAGACGAATTTTTAAAAAGTCCACATTTGTTTCATAAAAAGAATGCCAAACATATCAAAATCATGTGTGTAAGATTCAAATCTCTTCGAATGCAACAAAACTTTTTCAAAGGGCATCATGTAAAATATTGACAAGACAACTATTACGTTTAATGGTGGTAGAAAACAGTCACCATTCAATTCTGCCTCTATTCGTATAGGACAGACTTTAAGCAGGTTCTTCTAAAGAGAATGAGCAGGAGCTAGCATGCCAGCAGTTCTTTAATGTACCATCACTTTTTAAAGATGACCTCTGTTAAAAAGATGAATTCTCACACCCCTCTATCCTGTTCCGTAGAGAAGAACCATGTAAGGCAGTAAAATCCTATACATCTTTAAGCCACACCGACATTTCAGTAACGACCTCTGATTGTACTTTTTATCACTTTTGAAAGGATCTTTAGTTCAATTCAAAATAGCATTTCATAGAAGATGTAGATGACCTAGGAAAGCTGTCATACCCTGATTGTTTACTGTATTCTCTGAGGAGGCGCATACATTTTAATACATAACAAGTTTATGTGAGAATTTACACGTAATTTGAAATCTGAGTAAGAAATATTATAAATATTGATTTACACATTCGAAACTTTGAATTTTTACGTTATTTTCAACGCAAAAAAAAGGTACTATGTATAGTGAGAAATGTTCTAATGCGTTAAAAGTAGAGACAATAGATCGTGTAAAGTATATGATGCATCTTCAATCGTTTAACAGGTTTATAACGGACTCGGAATTAATGAGGCGAAAGTAGTATTCGTGGCATTTACCCTATTCGAAGCAGGTATATATTTTTACATTCATTGTTAGTTGTTCACTCAAAAACAATATGTTCATGTTCATGTCAACTGGAATTTTACAGCGTTATCTGTCTTACTTTAAGGTGAAGCCTATGTTATGAATTTACTTTCATAATATGTATTTTCTTTGTTTCCAGAGAACTCGTACTCGTGTATTCCAGAAAAACTTAATCTAATAAAGGCATCATCAAGTGAAATAACACTACGCTGGGATGCACCACCAGCAGATTACAACATTAGCCATTATGAAATAAGATACAGAGAATGTACAGAAAAAACCACAAGGTGGATTTTTTTGGAGACAGGTGATAACAAAACAAATGCAAAGATTATTGATTTAAAAGCTGGAGCAGAGTTTGAAGTCAAGGTTAGAGCAGTAGATACAAATGGGGAAGAAGGACCTTATCATCCTCCTATAAAAGTGGCAACAATAGAATCTTTGGCAAATAAAGTTCGTTTATCCGCCACTCTACATTCGGAAGGATGTCCATCTGTTTACCTCCTTCCAATGAAGCATGAGGAAATGTTTGACAACAAAAAAGCGAAAGCCAGGAAATATGTATTAGGTAAGCTTTTTCATTCATTCGATGAATTTTAATATGTATTCATAATTGTGAAAAGCTGGAAATAGAAAACTGGAATATACCAATAGGCCATTTTATCACTTGAGCAGCACGACGAGAAATTCAGGTAGATCGAATAATAATTATCATTCCTACAAGGTTTTTTTGTGATAGTTGAGTCAAAATATCTTGTCTACTTTTTTATTGATTGTGTTTTCGTTGATTCTTATGGCTTTAATTAGTGTTTACCCTTCTTTATGAACGTATGAATTTTTAGTTACCTTTTGTTATCATCTTAATGTTGATCTATAGAGATTTGATTATCATGGTTTAGATATATATAAGCGAATGACGTACACATTATTCTATCTTATTCGATGTCCTAATTCACGGCTGTCATTCGGTATATCGAGAAAAATTATCGTGAAAGAATAAGTAACGGTGGTCAAGTATTGTTATTGAATCGTGAAAGATCTGGTATAGGATCGTGAAGGAAATTTTATCGAATAGACACATGCAACGTCTGTAAATAATCTAATTTAATCAATTATAAACTGTCTGTCAAAATGGTTCAACATTATGATCAGCATCCGAGAAAAATCAAGTCTTAAAAGTACACCGCGTTTACAAAACTACAAAAGGCAGATTGCTCTTCGAAATTTCAGAGATATCTACGTTCAATATTACTGTTTAGAATAGTTCCTAAAGTTATTTTGATTTAGTTTAATAAGAAACTTTGCAAATATGGTAATATTTGTAAAAAAATGATTTCGGATCGTGAAAGATCGAGTACCGCATTTTGATGATCGTGAAAGATCTGTTGCCGCTTATTCTTTACTGCAAACAATCCATGTAAACGATCAAATCTTTTTTTAAACAAATATAAAATGATAATTTATATTTGTAACTGGTATAACAAGAGATTGGATTTGCATGACTTATTCCGTTTCACTTTTGTTTGTGAATAGGGCTATGATGGTTCAATGCCATTGGATCTGATTATTTGAAAATACCACACCGACTATTTTTCGTATAACAATATAAGTCCGTCTGTCCATCCTGCATAAGTTTTATATCGTTTTAAAAGTCAAGATTGTCTCATCTGATTTCTATTAATTTTTATGCACCGTCATATCTATAAAACGAAAATCCATGTAGATTTTTTTTTAAATTGGAAAAAAAAAACATTGTTTTAAAAAAACACACAGGAAAACAACTGTCATATTCCTAACTTGGCACAGGCATTTTCTTAAGAAAATGGTGTGTTAAATCTGGTTTTCTAGCTAGCTAATATGCCCACTTGTATGACAGTTGTTAGTTGTTTAATGTTCCGTAATATTGCCAAATTTGATGAGCAACCCAAACAGATATAATTGGTTAACGTGGCCATATCTGGGATTCAGCAGCAAAAATTGGGTAAACATACATCACAGGCATACAACACAACTGAATTTAACGTTCAAACACACTTACATTTAAATCAAACAAAGAGGCCAACAAAAAAATGTTTGCAGTTGATAATGCAGTCAGTATAGTAAAGCATAACTACGGAGCCCCTTGAGTGTAATGTAAATATAAATATTTTCGATTGCCGGAGATTTAATCTGGTGCGCACCATTTTGAAAAATCGCGCTCATAACTTTTAAGGTCATGTGCACGACTTTCAAACTTGAGCGCATGACTTTCAAACTGGTGCGCAAGACTTTCAAATTGACGTGCACGACTTTCAAAAGGGTGCGCAAGACTTTCAAAAATGGTGCGCATGATTTTCAAAATGGTGCGCATAACTTTCTAGAACTGGTGCGCAGTTTGAAACTCATATGCACCAGTTTGAAAGTCGTGCGCACCAGATTTTGAAAGTTGCACGCTCCTGAAAATCGTATGAGTTGAGAAATATCTACCCCATAATCGGATGAAGTTTGTAAATCGCTGCTAAGGTGAGGAAAATTTATAATTTCAAAATTGAAGTCATCTCGTTTGTCAAATTTGTGGTATATGAGGCCGAGGAAGCTGTATATGTGGTGTCTGTTATCTCTAGTTTGTGACTTTTAATGGTACCCAATCAGAAAAGTTTGTATTGTTAATGGAAAGATTATCTTCAATACATATGTATGTAAAATTAAATGATATATCTTCTTTGGTTTAAGCCTTACGAAAACATAAATGTACACATTAAGATATTTCCAGGGGAAGACCACCACACCCCCTCTCGCTTCACTCATTTGTGGATGCATTTAGCATTATATACATTGTATACAAAGATATTTACTTTTCGACAACTAACGCTCCTGAAGGTCTTATTATCTTGGATGGCTAGTTACATGTAGCATTGCCTCTTAAATGAAAACAGGTCTAAATATGGGTATATATATATAATTTATCACCAAAGAAAATAAAAGCATTAATTTACGTCCTTAGCAAGTAATTACACGCTTCAACCCCTTACAAGTATATCAATTGGTTAAAGAAATGTTGTTTTCTGATCATTAAGTCTGGTCACGCCCTTGTCTTTCACGATCAAAATAATGCGTTGAATGATCTTTCACGATCAATTTTGATTAAAAATCAACAAAATTATACTTTTTCAAAAATAATATGAACTTTTCAAGTAATAACCTACTTCTATTTTACTGGACTATCTGACACAATAAAGATGAAGTTTCAAATATATCATGATATATTGGAATGTGACCATTATAGATACAAAACATGTTTTTTTCTTAATGATTTTCTTAGGATTGTGTGTCGCCTTTTGTGTTTTCTTAAAAAGTACTGCATTTTTTCTTTAACTTAATGCACAGTTTTATTAAGGAAGTTGAATTATTTTGACGGTAATAATTTTTTTTCTGATTTGTACCACCTTTCGAAAATACAGCAGATTTTTTTACAGATTTTGAAGTAGAAATACACTTAATTGCATTCACGATCCGATAGCAATGCTTGGCCACCGTTAGTTGTTATTCTTTCACGATCATTTTTCTCGAAATACCGAATGACACCCGTGTAATTAATCAATAATTCAATTCCTATTTTAAATAAGCAAATAGGAAAACATCTTTAATGGAATGTACTTCATCTTTTACGTCAGTAAAATTGAACATCGCAATTGTTCACCGGATTTTCATTTGCATAATTAAAACATCATGACAGATGCAACATTTGGAGAAGGACTTTCTTTCTCATCAGGATCACATATAATCAACTCCGTTTATTTTGTGGAGTTCTTGTTGATCAATGTTTTTGTAATATTTTGTATTTGTTGTTCTTTTTTTCGTCGTACTTATTTTTTGCGATGGTGTTATCTGACAGACTTTCAATTTATTCTTGTTATCCTCTCTCTTTTTCTTTTTACCTTCCACACAATAAAAGTAAGTATGCAGGAAACTTCAGATCAACTTTTTTTTCTTTTTTTTTTAACGACAGCTTAATTTGACATCTTTTTTTGAGCTCTTCAATTAACGTTCAAAATTGATAAAATGTGTTGCAGAATTTCTAAATAGACATCCACATTTAACATTTTGTGGACTTCTGAAGGTAATGCCGCATTCAAAGTTGTCGTGTCTTAAAATAGCTGATTTTCATATTCATTTTTTTGGTATATTAATTTAACATTTTTGTTGATTGAGAATGGTCTGAGTTATTGGACCTGCACTTTAGCGATTTGTCGACTCTTTGTGTTTTTCAACTTATATATACAAATTATATATGACGTAGTTCGTTATTAACTTCAGTACAACAAGTATCTTTGTATTCTTGCGTTGCATATTTTACATGAATGGTTCGTTAGATAACTGTTGTGACTTTTTTTGCGCACAGTTTGATCTAATGAGTTATGTTTGATTGATTGATTGTTTGGTAAATGCACACTGAAAAACATTTCCATGAAACAAATTAAATTTAAATTCGATAGGTAGGTTTTGCCGAGGGGTGCCGTTTGGTTATGCATGATGTATAAATACGCAGCCATGTCCATAGTGAGCTTATTCATTGTGGGTTAGGTTGTCCCGTGAGAGAATGTGCTGTGCTAGTGATCGTTAGTAGCAATAACAAATCAATTGTATACAAAATTCGTATGACAAGATGTCGAGAAATAATTATTTTCAGTCAAAGTTAATGAACTTTAATTTATGAAACTTACGTGTATTCTATACATTTGTACAATTTGTTCGGCTATTTAATTTGCCATATCTCAGACAATAAATAAAAGCTCTAGTTGCATGAAAATTTTCATTTAATTCCGTAAGGTCATCCATTTACTTTTGTGTAACTTAATTGGATAAAAAAAAGCCTTGTCATGTTTAATTTTTAGCAATGGACAACTGGATTTATTTAAACAATTATTTTGTTTTGTATTAACAGGATGAATTTAATGACTAGAAAGCATAGGGATAGGGTATTCGACACGTTTTTTTTTGTTGTTTTTTGTTGTTTTTTTTTGGGGGGGGGGTTAGATCATGTCTTTGCTAGTTATATGCATATTTTCTTATTATATAAAAAAAAGGAGATGTGGTATGATTGCCAATGAGACAACTATCCACCAAGGTAACATGATTGACAATGTACAAAATAGGCTTTTAACTTTGCTCATCTGAAATAATGCAGCCACCGAATGTATTATAGGTGTCTTTTCTATCAAAAACATAAATTTTCTGTATCAATGACCTTGCATATTTGCCACCTTTTACTCAAAAATAAAGAGTACAGAACCAGGACAATTTCTCTCATCACCATCAAACTATCAGGACAATTTGTTTGGCGAATGTGAACGATATTTGCAATAAAAATAGTTTGACTATACCTAAAACGTAACACGTAAAGCTTGTTTGTGAAAGATCAAGCGACAGACTGCTTGTTTTATTACCGCTCTGTATCGTTGTCTGTAGAAAGATCTCGATGCGAATTTTAAATTGTTTTTACGAAAGACCGAAAGGGACATGCTTTTTTTTATTATTATTTCTCATTTTTATTTTGAAATTTCTTTGTTCCAATTAGACATTTATTAC